TGGATTTGCTTCACATAGATGAATTGAAAGGCATATTCAAGGTTCACGGAACGTTGACCCCTTCACATGGTGTGAGAAAGATCCGAGCATCCCTTGTCTCATGATTCATTGTTTCTTACCCGCTTCAAAAATTTACAATATCTATATGCCTTTTCTTGCTTCATGAACAACCACATCCAACTTTTCACTTTTAATCCATGCTATTTAAAAAAAGATAGGAAATATTGCAAGTTTTTGAAACAAATTAAAACAAGTAGTATAATTTCAGATAACTTAACATCAGAGTTATTTAAGTTCTTCGATGGACATCATCTTCCATTTGTCTTCCGAGTAGCAGAGTCCGAGAAAATACGGTAGCTATACGTATGCTTACCGGTTTATGAGAAATTAAAATTGAAAACAAGCCATGTACTCGAATTGGAGGTAACTCATATAGATTTGGTGGTGATTGAAGAGAAGGTAAGCCATATGTCAAACAAAATCATCGGAAATTGTAAGCTTAGGTGTGTATGTTATGCCTACCGACTGAGAACGAAAATTGAACAAATAATGTGTTAGGTCCCTCTAGATTTTGATGATGCATGTATTGTAGACTCAAACTTGATCTTGTACTTTATGTTTTATGTATGCATGCATGAGAAAAGTACAAACAAAAGAAGAAGTACCAAAAAACAAAGAAAAGAAATAAAGGTACAAAAAGAGCTGACTATTTTGTGAAAATCGGTAGCCTGCCAAAACTAAGGCAGCCGGTCTTCACGTTCCATCGGGTCAAAAGAGTTCAAAATATTATTTCCAAAGCTAAAAGAAAAATTGATTCATTTTTCTTTTACAACTTGGCTAAAAAAGAAAGTCACGAGAACCTATTTTTAGCAAGTGGGCTACGACCTAGGAGGAACTTTTGTAACTCAACCCATACTCTCTTATTTACAAGTGTACGCATGGGCTCGAAGAAAGGAACAAAAAGAGACTCAGACTACTAGGAAAGAAGACAAAAAGAGAGCATGCTGAAGATCAAGTGGAAAGCTTCAATGTTCAAGATTGAATCTCCTCAACCAACGGGAGTTATTCAACTACAAGAAGTCTATAGATACTAATTACTAAAGGGATGTGACGAAGAAGATTCAGCGAGCTTAGTGCAATCAAGACATTTATATCAGAATATCTAGAAAGAGGATAAAGTGTTAATCCATCACTTTATTCCCAGCTCGTTCACTTCTCTTTAAGCTCTTAGACTAGTTCACTTAAATTTATACTAAGAAGCTTAGAATAGTTGGGAAAAAGTTGTAAACTCCTTTGGAAGAATTTGTGATCCAAAGAGAGGGTAGATTAGGACATGAGTAACTTTTGAATCAGACCGATTCATTAGTGAAAAACCTAGAGGCAAGAGTAACTTGGAGTAGGTGTCACTCCTTGTGAAAACCTGACAGTTTATGCCTTTGATCAAGGTTAAACTGGGCACTAAGTGTATTGGTTAATAGCTTAGTGGAAATCCATCTATAGGGTGGGACTGAATGTAGGAGAATTACATCACCTCTGAACCAGTATATATCTGTGTGTCAATCTCTTTAAGTCACTAAAGAAACTACCAACAAGTCTTAATCAATTCCCAGAAAAACAACTCCGTCAAAACACAGTTCGGCAGCCTGCTGATTTTTTCAAATCAAACCCAGAAAATTACCTTGTCCAAATCTCATAGTGTATTGGTTAAAAGTCAATTCTTCCGCTGCTGATTCTAAGGCCTCTCTAAAGGCTTAAGAATCTAACTCACGAAGAGAGATAAGACTTTAATGCAAAAAGTTTTAAAAGTCTATTCACCCCCTTCTAGACTTTTACCCGGGACCATCATAATGTTCAGAAGTACACCGACGAACCGGCAGATGTGATATGTGTGTTGTATTGAATATTAAATGGTCTTATAGATAAGAATGAAGCATCAGTTTATAGACTTTTGTTTAGAGTTAGAGGGTAAGGCCCATTTTTTTTACTTTTAATAGGTTAGTTGACATTTTTTATTTACTGTTATTTTAATCCTTAATAAAAAATGAGTAATCTATTCGAAAATAGATTCTAGCATTTCAGTTGACCTATTTTCATTGCACTTCTTTGTTTACTATGTTTGAAATACAAAAAATGTGTGTGTGTGTGGGGGGGGGGGGGGGGGGGCATTTTACGCAGAGGTGAATTGATGATATGCGACGAGCACTTCGTCGTAGTGCGTCAAAATAATTCGATACTCGCACTTATACGTAGTATAGGTGAAGTAGAGTTCATATCCACAGGGAAAAGAATAATTCTCTTTTTAATAAAACTAGTAAATAAAGGGGGGTTTTGGGATTGAGTGATTTAATTTAATTAAACACGAAGATGAACGAGTTATATGAGATTTAATTCAAGAATAAAAGGGACTTGGCTTTGCTACTTTCCACTTGTTGATATATTTTAGTTGATCCTTGTTATATCTATAACTTATCCCCTCTCGAATACTCAATCGAGAAGTATATCCAATTCATCGAGGGTAGTTATTAACAACGACTGTTCATTAACAACCCTTACTATTAATCAAATATAGAACAACGTCGTATACCGATTTAATAGTAGCATTTAATCTTTTTAACTCCTTGATGAAATCAATTGAGATTGATAACCTTAACACAACGGTTTCGGTTTAACCAACAAAATTAATCTCTCTTAAGTTTATGAACCACGACCGTGCATTAATAAACCGAAGTTACTTACTTATGAAACCATCAACGATTAACCATCGGTTCGTTGATCGTTTCTAGTAATAATTAATGTCGGAACGTTAACTAATCGTCACTTAGCAACCCTTCAACATTAATATGGATTGAGATTAAGGGAAGAATTAATAATCTAGGGAAGAAGTTAAGAAAATAACTCACAACTTTAATAATCAACAAGCTTCAAGAGCAAAACCAAGAAATGAGAGTTTAGGTCCTCATTTGGAGACTAAACATGCTAGAAAAATATAAGAAATAACTATTCTAAACTGAGCTTAAGTATATGGAAGAAGGGATATCAAAATGGGAAGGCAATGGGGTGTATTTATAGGTGTTTTGGTGAGGTTTGGTAGAATACCCGACCGGGTATATCAAAATACCCGACCGAGTATTTGACCAAATCTGATTTTCGCACGTTCTCTTGCTTTATTTGATCTTGTAAATCTCCGGGTCAAGTCATACCCGACCGGGTATTGATAATACCCGACCAGGTATGACACCAAATCACATTTTTTGCATGTTTTCTTGTTCCCTTGCACCTTCTTTTGATCTAGTAAGATCTCTCCCATGATCCTTTGTTGATTCTTGATTGATTCTTGCTCAAAATGATTCTAAATTTACTAAATTACAACAAATTAGAAAAATAAAATGATTGCTTCGTAAATGTGCAATTACCACAACAACACACCGTAAAAACTAATTAAAAGTAAAAATGTAAACACTCAAAAACTAATGCAATGAATATGCTTCAATTTGAGTCCCCTAATGCCAGCTCAATTGTGGATCCATTCGGCGTAATCCAAAAGGATTGAAAATTTAAGGAATATTATCAATCCGGGACCTGAAAGATAGACGAATTATCAATCCGAAATCTGAAAGATGAAATGTATCAGTATAGGACCCGAATGATGAAAACTATCAATATATGACCTAACATTTCATAGGTTTTGATCTATTTTTTTTTATTAATTCCATTGCTAATATTTGATGATTTTTTATTCAAAAAAGGTTACTAGTTTGATAAAACTAAATAATATTTAAATTTAAAAATATATATATGAAAACTTAGGTCCTATATTGATAGTTTTCAATCCTTCGGGTCCTAGATTGATAGTTTTCCATCATTCGATACTTATACCGATACATTTCATCTTTCAGGTCCCTAATTGATAACTCGTCTATCTTTCAGATCCTGAATTGATAAAATTCCATATTTTAATTATGAATGATAAAGATCAAAACTCAAATGAGACAACAAATGTTGTGTGTAAGGAAGTGCCTAAGAATGTTTAACTTTTTGCTTGTTATCTTATGTTGCATAACATGATTTTCGTATCTGTCCATTAAGCAGTCATTGTAATTTTTAATATATCATTTTTGGCATTTGAACTTTATTGATTTTTATATTACAAGTTTATTTATTTTGGGCGTGCAACGCACAAATGAAATATTAGGAAAGTAACACAAAAAATGAGACTACAAATGTGGGCTACAAAGAAGTATTTTTAAACTTCCCAATTTGTGTTAATTATAGATTTTATTTTTCTTATACTTCATTTTAACATTTACACATTACTCTTTCGTTTCTAATACTTGGAATAAACATATCAACCGTGCATCACAGATTCACAGGGGAATGACAAGGTTTGGTGATCATAGTTTAGAAGTAAGAATTCTCACTGGAAGAAGTATGAGTCAACAAGTGCTAACTCCAAGACTCTCATTAACGAAGACAGTTCTCAATCATGGTTTTTGCTTATGTTATGACCATTAATAAGAGTAAGCACAATCTCTTTCACATGTTGATTTATTATTGAAAAACCATATGTGACAGTTTCCCGAGTTACCAACCCAAAAGGATGGTAAATTTTAATTTTAGATGATAACCAAAGCTCGAATCAATCAATAAATGTTTATAAGGAAGTGCTTCAAAATGTTTAATTTTTTCATGTTATCTTGTTGAATAACATAATTTTGTTTGTTGTCAATGAAATGTTCATTGTAAATGTTTTGATGTATCATTTTTCATTTGAACATTTTTGCTTTAATTAATACATAAACATTTCTTTATTTCGGACTATGCACGGGTGAGATACTAGTTTTGGAAAACATCTCAAATAATGCACCCGCGCACAAGTCCGGGTGATATACATGGGCTTGACTCCTTGGTTGACATGGGCCAGCTGGCCCTACGTTTGCACTAGCAAAGGCCCACTGGTGGCCGAATTTATTTACTTCGTATATGATTCAGGCCGCTTATAAGCAGGCTACTCTTCTTTCGTTGCCCTAGACTGGAATAGGTTTTAAACCCACCCTTCCCATCTCTAAATACAAAATCCCCAAAGCTTCCAGTAGCCGCATTAGGGCAGGACGAGAAGCTGAGAAAATGAAGTACAACCCTAGAGTCTCATCCTCCCGGCGCAAGAGCCGCAAGGCTCACTTCACGGCCCCGTCCAGCGTCCGCCGTGTGATCATGAGCTCGACATTGTCGGCCGACATGCGATCCAAGTACAACGTGAGATCGTTGCCGGTGAGGAAGGACGACGAAGTCACCGTGATGCGTGGGACCTACAAGGGCCGAGAGGGTAAGGTTGTTCAGGTTTATCGCAAGAAGTGGGTGATCCATATTGAGCGGATAACCCGTGAAAAGGTCAACGGATCTACCGTCAATGTCGGTATTCATCCCTCCAATGTTGTGATAACAAAGCTCCACCTCGACAAGGACCGCAACTCACTCATCGAACGCAAGGCTAAGGGCCGCGCCGCCGCTGATAAGGAGAAGGGCACCAAGTTCAGCACTGCGGATATCATGCAATCAGTTGATTAATTTGTGAGGATTTCATATATGCTATATCTATATTGATTTGCTTGCTTTTTGCAGCCATCGCTTTTTCTTCACGGATCTCTAGTTTAATTTTTAGACTCTTTAATATCTTGCTACCTCAAAGTTTTGTTTTAAGGAAAATCTGTTGCCTAATTTAAGCATCTAGGATTTATTTTACAGTTTGGCATTGGTCCCGGGAATGATTTTTTAATTATTGCATTTCATGTCACGCACAATGCTCAAAGTGGTATTATGGTTATGCATAATTTGAATTTAGGTATATTTAATTTTTCGTAATTCCAATTTGAGAACTAATATATTTGAATACTTTCTAACATGAGGTACTTTAACACACTAATGATATCTTTAACTCATCACCTTTTAGTTGTTTGTATGAACTTAACCTCAGAGATGTTCATGGGTTCTTGCAAATGTTGAGATTAATGTTTTAAAAAATGGTTTTAGCTTGTTAACAGTGAGAAACAAAATGATCATTGGATACTCTTTGGTTTATATGGTTTCTATATTTTATGCTATAGGCTTACAGCATTATATTTGATCAAGACTATATTAAATAGTCTTGAATTCTTGATAAATGTCAAGCTTTTTCATAAACAAATATTTAGAATTAAATAGAAATCATTAAAGAAACAAGTTCAAGATCACGTTATAATTGATTTTATAAATAGCTGTGAATAAGATATTGGTTTGTGTCAATTTACTCAATTAAATATTTTGAAATATAGGCATGTGTTCGTTTAGATTTAGTCAAAGTGTGTTATATCTACCCAATGGTCATTGCCAGTTTGCTGCCTAGACTCTGCAAGTTCTACTATAACTAGTCTGCAAGTTCTACCAAAGTGTGTTATATCTACCCAATGGTCATCACCTTTCCCTAGGAAAGCATAATGGGTCCTGTATTCATATGTTTGTTTTGTTTTAATGTAATGGTTGATACATTCTTTAGTCAATGTTGAAAGAATGATGACATCTCTATGCAAATGCAGCATCACTTGTGATGCAATGAGCGGCACTTTCCACATGAGATTTCTGACTCTCAATAAAATAAAAGTACTGGCATTGTCCGTTCCCTAGGGAAGCTTAATGGGTCCTGTATTCATGTGTTTGTTTTGTTTTAATGTAATGTTTGATGTTTGATACGGAGTACATTCTTTAGTAAATGTTGAAAGAATGATGACATCTCTATGCAAATGCAGCATCACTAATGATGCAATGAGCGGCACTTTCCACATGAGATTTCTGACTCTCAATAAAATAAAAATACTGGCATTAAATATAAATCTTTTCAAAATGCTTGTCCTTTATTGTTTTGCGTCAATTCTATTACTTTTTTTAATCTTAAGTATGCTTCGGAAGTTGTGATATTCATTTTTTTCATGCTTGGTGTGCCTTGTGATCTACGATATGATCGGCATCAAAGGCTAGAAAGGGCTGTGATTAGAAAGAGAGAGGATTGAGTGTGGAAATTTCATTCATGTTTTTTGGAAAGAATCATGACATAAATGCAGATTTGACAAAGCTGCCACCTTCCTCAATAATGGAGAAGGTTTTTGGCGGCTAGTAAGTTCAAATTTGCATCCTCATATCTTTCTTTTCCATTAGAATGGAATTTCCTCATGTTGATTTGCCTTACTAATTTACACTTGATATGAGCCTTTTTTTAGCTTTTATCAGATGCAAGATCAAATTCTCTGAACAAACAACCTACTTAAAGTAGGCTCTTTTACATAGTTTTGATTTATTAATTAAAACTGTAATAGGAAGTCAGGTTGATTGATTTAGAAGAGAGTGATTATTGTGGTGGCCGATGATGCGTAAAAGAAGATTTGTCCGTACCATCTGATAACTGCAAAGGAATGTGTTATCCTTTCTTCGTCTTTTGATGCATAAACCTTCTCACCCTGAGGCCTCCTTTATGTTATTTTCTATTGTTACCAAGTCGGGTGTTTTGGTTTAGAATATAGTGATTAGGGTTGTGGCCAATGATGCGTAAAAGAAGATTTGTCCGTACCATCTGATAAGTCGGAAGGGGTGTGTTATCCTTTCTTTGCTTTTGATGCATAAACCTTCTCACCCTGAGGCCTTCTTTATGTTAATTTCTATTGTTATCAAGTCTGGTTGTTTGGTTTAGAAGACAGTGATTAGGGTTGTGGCCGATGATGCGTAAAAGAAGATTTGTCCGTACCATCTGATAAGTCTGAAGGGATGTGTTATCCTTTCTTTGTCTTTTGATGCATAAACCTTCTCACCCTGAGGCCTCCTTTATGTTATTTTCTATTTTTATCATATTTCTGTGTGCGTTTGAATCCTGGCTGGCTTGGGGGTTGACAATGAAGTTGGCGGAATTAGATGAATCCTGTCAATACTAGCATGTCAGATTGCCAAATTTACCCTACCTTTTTGAATGTTTAGTTCATTGTAGAATGTGAATAGCATATTATTCCCTTCTAAAGGCTATATGAGGCACAAGATCCAGGAGGAGGAGTTTTGCAACTCAACAATTCGAAAAGAGGATAGATTCTAAGCCTCTAAGGTTATGAAAAGAGGAGTTTAGTCAGTGTCTAGATAGCATTCAGTTTTGCCATTGTTTTTATGTACATTTAAACTCTTTGTGTGATTAATATATACTTAAGTTCGGATGGTTTTTACATGGTTTGTAACCCACCAGACTGTATCATCTCTCAGCTTCATACTGAGAGTTCGACTGTTTGAGTTGATTAATGAAATTTATTTCCTTCCAAAAAAAAATACTTACAGTTCATCCAAAAAAAATAATGTAATGAAATGGAATGAAGTGTGTAAATGTAAATGTAAATGTAAATGTAAATGTAAATGTAAATGTAAATGTAAATGTAAATGTAAATGTAAATGTAAATGTAAATGTAAATGTAAATGTAAATGTAAATGTAAATGTAAATGTAAATGTAAATGTAAATGTAAATGTAAATGTAAATGTAAATGTAAATGTAAATGTAAATGTAAATGTAAATGTAAATGTAAATGTAAATGTAAATGTAAATGTAAATGTAAATGTAAATGTAAATGTAAATGTAGTCTCTATTACATTACTATGTTTGGTTAATAAGCCAATGTAATAACAACTTGGGACTGAAATGTAATCAACATTACGTAATTTTTGTATTTATTTATCTACATGTAGAATTAGCCGTTGTAATAATCAATTAGCCGATGTAATAATCAATATTTCTAATTATATTGATGTTTTCAGAATATTTTAAAATACTTAATGGTTTTTGGAAGTTAAAATACTTCATTTAGAAACAAAATTAGAACACTCTAAAAAGAGAAGCACGATCACTAGTATTATTGTGCGGTCAAACCGTCAAAAGCAGAGAAATAGGGTCAATACGAGTAAAATTAATGCAATGGTGAAATAAAAGCAAATACTCCATAATAAGATAGAGGTGGGCTCGGGTCGGTTCGGCCGGGCTTCGGTTCATGAAATGGGAGGCCCGGAACCGGCCCGGGTAACCCCTGGGTCCGGGTCGGGCCGGGCCAGGCCTCGGTTCAATTTAATTTTTTTTGGCTTTTCCTAATTTACCCCAAACCCTCCCCCCAAATGGCCCAAAATACTTAGCCCAACCCAAAAACTTAAAAGAAAATTCAAAAAAAAAAAGAAAAAAAAAATTGGCTCGGACTGGGCTCGAATCGGTCGGGCCGGTTCACCTTTTGAGGGGCCCGAGCCCGGCCCGGAACCCTAGCGGGTCGGGCCTACCCGGACCGGTCCCTGGCCGGGCCGGCGATTCTGGCCGGTTCAAACAGTGATCGGGTCGGGTTGGTTCCGGGGCGGGCTGCCCGGCCCGAGTCCACCCCTATAATAAGAGGACAATTTTTCCAAACCTGGGGAAAGAGGGGTGCCCACAACAACTTCAGAGGTGGGCAGTAGGCTTGAACCCGGTTTGGGCCACCTGGCCTGGGAACCGGGTACCGGTTTGGGGTGGGTAATCGGGTCGGGTACGGGTAGGGGTGGACTCGGGCCGGGCCAACCGGCCCGGAACCGGACCGGCCCGCTACTGTGCGGGCCCGGACCGGCCCGGTCAACCGGTTGGTCAACCGGTTCGGGCCACCCGGCCCGGAGGGATACCGGTTCGGGCTCGGGCCCTGATTTTGGCGAACCGGCCCGGCCGGTTCGGGCCCGGTCCGGGCCGGATTTTAATTTTTTTTTTTTTTTTTTTGAAATTTTTTTAAATTTTGGGTTGGATTAGGTATTTTGGGCCATTTGAGGTGGTTTGGGGTAGTTTGGGGTTGAGGGGGAGGGGTAGGGGGTTAAAAATGAGAACCAAAAAAAAAAAAAAATTAAGTTGGGCGGTTCGGCCCGGCCCGGCCCGGCCCGGTTTGGCCCGGAACCGGAACCGGAACCGCCCCCCGGCGGTTCGGGCCCGGGCCCTATATTTCTGGCCCGAGGCCCGGCCGGGCCCAGGCCCGAACCGGGCCCGAACCGGCCCGAGTCCACCCCTAGGTACGGGCTTAGGTAAATGGGAACCGGTCTGGCTGGTTCCGGGCCCAGTTTGGGCCACTCGGATTTTTTTGTTGTTTTTTTGTTGGTTTGGGGCTTAGGGCTGGGTTTAAATGGACTGGAATGGGTCTTTCAGATGGGTTTGTAGGATGGGGGGGGGGGGGGGGTAGGGGACAAAAATAACCAAGAAAACAAAAAAAATATAACCGGACTTGACGCGACCTGGGCCCGAACCGGCACCGGTCTACTTCCGGGCCGGTCTTGGGCCTAACAGAATTTTTTTGGCCCAGCTAGGGGTGGACTCGGGCCGGTTCGGGCCTGGGCCCGGCCGGGCCTCGGTTCTTTTTTGTTGGGCCCGAACCCGAACAGGTAGCCACCGGTTCCGGGTCCGGTTCCAGGCTGGGTCACCCGGTTTGTAATTATTTTTTTGGCTTCTCCTATTTAACCCCCAACCCACCCCCCCTCACCCCCTAACCACCTCAAATGGCCCAAAACCCCCAGCCCAACCCAAAAACTTAAAAGAAATTCAAAAAAATAAAACAAATTATATTCGGCCCGGACTGGACCCGAACCGGCCGGGCCGGTTCACCAAATGGAGGGCCTGAGCCCGGAACCGAACCCCACCGGGCCGAGTCGACCCGAACCGCCCCTAGGCCGGGCCACCGGTTCGGTCCGGTTCAAACAGTTACCGGGCCGAGCCAGTTCTGGGTCGGGCCGCCCCGGCCTGAGTCCACCCCTAGGCCTGACCCGGGCCCGGAACCGGTTGAGTCCATGACTGGTGGGAAGAGTCCATCCGTAAGTTGTAATGTTAAACACCTTTTTTAATGTAAGCGTATTACACATGTAAAGGTAATGAGTTCCATATATATGTAATATATCAATACATTACAGTTTCAAATAAAATGACATATCAAACATCGTATTCAAATTAACATGTAATGCTTATCACATTACATGATTAATTATGTCATATCAAACATGGCCTAAAGGATAATTGGCTTGTTTTTAACAATTTGAGCTTTCTTTTAGTCTGCTAATCTGATACCGGGGAGCCAACTGTGCCCCTTGAATCAGGTTGTTGGCACCATCCACCAAGTGATTAGACAAGGATCCCTTCCATATTATGCCCTTCCATCTAAGTAGCACAGAAACGCGAAACGGGAAACATGAAACGGGAAACGCGAGAAACGTAATTTCTAAAAACAAATATGATACGAAATGTGGGGGAAACACGTAAATATTATAAAATATAAGGATATATTTATAAATATTTTTTAATATATGTACACAAGTTTTTTCATATGCACGTGTTTTTTTCATATAATTTGTTTAGTAACCAAATAATAAAATCACTCTACATGTTGGAATTTAAATATTTTTTCATATTAGTACATAATTAAACATAAAATGTACGGAGTTATACAATTCTAGCAATACGTTGCGTTAGGAAATGTAACAAGTGTTGCTGCTGAGAAATACCACAAAAATTCACTATTAAAAAAAACACTTTCCACCACAGAATTTTTAAAAAAGAAAAAATGGAATATGAGGTTTCCGAAGCGTAGTGAAAAGAGTTTCCAAATTTTTCTTAATTAAGGAAACGGTACTAAAACGGGAATTTGAAGTTTCTGAGTTTCCGAAACGCTTCCGAGTTTCCGAAATGTGGAAACGTGAGCCGTGGAGAGTTTCCGTGCTTCATAGCCTTCCACATAGCTTATCTTACTGCAATCAATTTGTATATCTTAAAATTTAAAATTTGATGCTATTAGGTTATGTTTGGTATGGTGTAATGTAATGCAATGAAATAGAGTATGTAATGAAATAAAAATTGTAAATTAATGGAATTAAATCAATATTCCATTACTATGTTCGGTTAACAACGGTAGAAGACCCGAGAAGAAGATAAAGTGTAGATTTGAAAGCGAAAAATTCATCCGCTGGGAGCGGGAGCATCTGGCCTCACGAAAAGAAATACTACGTAGAGTATGTACAAGAAAACACAATCTTAAATGCATATCTTTTCTAATGTAAAACTTATTACACATATTAAAGTAATGGATTCTACATACGTAATGCACACTATATTACGATTTAAAATAAAATGTCATACCAAACATTGTATTGAATCAACATGTAATGCTAATTACATTACATGAATGATTACATAATGTCTTCGTGCGGTGTAATATAGATTTATTTTGGAATAAATAGGTAGGTGTTCTTCACCTCCTACTTCAATAAAAAAGATGTGGGATTAAAATAATACTCCGTATATAATTACATTTTTATTCTTAAAATAAAGATTAAATATGACTAGTGACTAGAGTATTAATGAAATGTATTGCATTTTTAAACTTAAATTACTATAATACTACATTGTAGTCATATTTGTGTAAATACGTTTTTTAATACTACTTTTGGTCTTAAATAAATGAAACAATCAACTATTCATGTTTGTTAATGCATCACTTTAGTATATTTAATTCTCATTTATAACAAAAATTAAAAATCAGATTTAAAAAATTAGAATAAAACAAATTTAACAGTATACTACGTAATTTTTAAAATAAATTATTAATGTATTAATAAATAAAATGTTTTCAAAGTGGAACATGTATATATTGTAAAATTGTACATGTATTTATTTAAGAAAAGAGCTAGTAATGTTTTTGAAAAAAAACTACAACAACAACAACATCCAAGCCGTAGTCCCAAAAGATATTGGGGTCGGCTAACATGAATCGATACATGATAACACCACCAAAAGGAAAAGAAAGAAAATAAAGATAAAAATAAGCTATTAGAAAAAGATAATATAAAACGGGATGAATATACTTAAAAATGATAAAATAAAAAGGATAAAAATAATGTTTATATATATATAAGGATAAAAGAATAAAAAACAAGAAGAAAAAAGATGAGGGGAAATAATAATAATACGAGATCACTCCTCCACACGAATACTCGCCCTACACTTTGCTCTCTCTAAAACCATACCCTCATCCGACCCAAGAAGAAGCATATCACTTCTGACTGCCCTAACCCACGTCTGTTTGGGTCTTCCTCTCCCTCTTCACTGCCTCTTCTCCACACATCTCAACACGTCTGACAGGTGCATCATTCGGTCTTCTACGCACATGACCAAACCACCGTAGGCGAGACTCCCGCATCTTGTCTTCAATAGGTGCTACTCCCACCCTTTGTCTGATTGTCTGATTTCTCACGTGGTCCTTCCTCGTATGGCCATATATCCAACGCAACATGCGCAT